CTCATGCTATCTCTTTACAATCACACCCACCTCTCATCTTTTTTTTCTTTTTTTTTAATTGTTTTATTGCCCACCACTCATCTTAACACCATTCTTCAACCTGGCAACCAATGATTTCTTCTCTATCTCCAACATACTGTCATTTTCGGAATGTTCCATGTGACAATGCCTGGTTTCATTTCAATAATGTGGTTTCATTTCAGAAGTTAGAGCATCAGCCCACACACCGAAGGGTCAGGGTTTGATTCCTGGTCAAGGGAAGGTGCCTGGATTGCCTGTTGGATCCATGGCCCCCTCAGGGCCTGTGGGGGAGGCAACTAATCAATGTGTCTCTCTCACATTGATGTTTCTTTCTCTCTCCTCTCTCTCTTCCCCTCCCACTCCCTTCCACTCTAAAAATCAATGGAAAAATAATCTTGGGTGGGGAGAGACCAAGATGGCGGCATAGGTAAACACCAGAGATTGCTGCCGCAAATAACCACTTCAAAAATACAACTAAAAGATGGAACGGACATCACCCAGAACCACAGGAAGGCTGGCTGAGGAGAGACTCTTCAACTAGAAGGAAAGACAACAGCATACCGAGGCTCAGAGGAGGCGCAGTGTGGAAAATACTCAGGTGCGGAGGTGCGCGCGCAAAGCGGGCTGGTGGCTGAGGGCGCGGTTGTCGTTTTCAATCAGGAGGGAGTCTCAGACTCTGAGCTCCAGATTCGGGTGAATCTCTAGGGACTCAGACTCAAACGGGAGAAGCAGGATTGTCTGGCATCAGTTGGAACGTGAGGGTAGCTTTCTCTCCGAGGTTTGCAGCGGTTGCTGGGGTTCTGAGAAGCAGAGCCTCTGGGAACGGGACTGAGAGCAGCCATAACTGCTCCCTCCACCCGCCTTGTTGATCCCGCCCCGCCCAAGCCCTGCGCAGAGCCATTTGCTGGATAGCCTCAGGCAAAGGCTAGATTAGCACCTCTCCAGAGGACAGAAGTTTTCCCACTGCAGATACAGGTGATTCTCACAGCCAGTCGGCCTGGTGGTCAAATCCCTCTAGTATTAACTACAACAATCAAGGCTTAACTAGAACAAGACTGCGCACAAAGACCACAAGGGGGTGCACCAAGAAAGCATAAAAAATGCGGAGACAAAAAAACATGACAGAAATGGAGGATATAGAGCTAAAAAACGCAATTTTGAGGGCTTGCAAAAATGTGCTAGAAGCTGCCAATAAACTTGAGGAGAGACTCACGAAAACTAATGAGACCCTCGATGCTATGATAAAGAAACTAGAAATTAAGCATACACGCTCTGAAATAAAGAATATTACACCCAATAGCAGACCAGAGGAGCGCAAGAATCAAGCCAAAGATTTGAAATGCGAAGAAGCAAAAAACACCCAACCGGAAAAGCAAAATGAAAAAAGAATCCGAAAATACGAAGATAGTGTAAGGAGCCTCTGGGACAGCTTCAAGCGTACAAACATCAGAATAATAGGGGTGCCAGAAGATGAGAGACAGCAAGATATTGAAAACCTATTTGAAGAAATAATGGCAGAAAACTTCCCCCACCTGGTGAAAGAAATGGACTTACAGGTCCAAGAAGCGCAGAGAACCCCAAACAAAAGGAATCCAAAGAGGACCACACCAAGACACATCATAATTAAAATGCCAAGAGCAAAAGACAAAGAGAGAATCTTAAAAGCAGCAAGAGAAAGAGACTCAATTACCTACAAGGGAATACCCATACGACTGTCAGCTGATTTCTCAACAGAAACTTTGCAGGCCAGAAGGGAATGGCAAGAAATATTCAAAGTGATGAATACCAAGAACCTACAACCAAGATTACTTTATCCAGCAAAGCTATCATTCAGAATTGAAGGTCAGATAAAGAGCTTCACAGATAAGGAAAAGCTAAAGGAGTTCATCACCACTAAACCAGTATTATACGAAATGCTGAAAGGTATCCTTTAAGAAGAGGAAGAAGAAAAAGGTAAAGATACAAATTGTGAACAACAAACATGCATCTATCAACAAGTGAATCTAAGAACCAAGTGAATAAGGGGAGTTATGGGGGGAAAAAAAAGAGGAACAAATGTAATCTGAACAATAAAGATTTAATTAAAAAAAAAAGAAAAATAATCTTGGGTGAGGATTAACAATTTTAAAAAAATGAATGTGCTTGCGACATCAAACCTGTGGGTTACGTGAAGGGAAGGAAGAAATGGGCTGGAACAAAGGTGTCACCCACCACATCAAGCTGTCCTTCCTCCTGTGGTTTTAAACTGAGAACGGGTCCTTGAATCCAGCGGCAGGCTCAGTATGGTGGCTGAATTCCTTTCTCTCCTCTTATTTGGTAAGTTTCTTAGGATTGATATATTGGGATTCGAGACAAGGGTGGATTGACTGATTAAGAGATGTGACGAATACAACAGAGATAACACTGCCTTCTATTCATTGATTGCTTCACACATGTCAGGACCCATGCTGCAGGCTTTATGGCCACTTACGTATCAAGTGTTTCTCAGTATGGGAATATGTGTATTCCACAGTCATGATGATGCTCTATGTCTACACCACCTTCATGTAATTAATAATTTATTGGCACTGTGTCAACTCTTTTTCTTCAAATCAAATGAATGTATTTATTTGAAATAATGTAGCAAGACTGTAACTAATAATGTAGTCACCAAAAAAAAGAATGAAGAGGTGGAAAATGTTAAAAATTCTAGTCTTTGCTGTTCATTGTCAAGTTTGATCCCATGGAGGAACACTCTCTTTTTTAGTCAGTGACAGAGGTGTGATACCATACACTAAACTTTTCTCCTTGATTTGAACAAAGGGGTTTAGCCCTGGTGGGTTTTGGATCAGTGGTTAGAGCATCGGCCTGAGCACCAAAGAGTTGCAGTTTGGTTCTCTGTCAAAGGCAGGTACCTGGGTTGCAGGTTAGCTTCCTGCCCTCCAGTTGGCGTGCATGTGGGAGGCAACCCGTCGATGTGCCTCTCACATAGATGTTTGTCTGTCTCACTCTCTCTTTTCCCCTCCCATTGTCTCTGAAAAGCAATGTTCTGTTCATCGTAAGAACACTTAGTATCTCTTTTCTTTTTTGTTGATTTCAGACATAAAGAGAAGGAGAGAAATAGACACATCAATGATGAGAGAATTATTGATGAGCTACCTCCTGCATTCCCCACACTGGGGATTGAGTCTACAACGCAGGTATATGCCCTGACTGCGAATCCAACCGTGACCTCCTGGTTCATAGGTGGACGCTGAACCACTGAGCCACTCCAGCCAGGTGGAAGTCTCTTTATCAACCAGTTATATGGAATATGTTTCACATGCCTTGAGCAATGTTTGCCCTCATTCAGTTATAGCAGTGGTTCCCCTTCTTGGCTACATAGTTGTATCACTCAAGGAACAGTTGTAAAAAAATACAGATGTCTGAGCCCCATTTGAAGACTTTTTGACTTACTCTACTGTGGTTCGGTCTGACCCTGGACTTTTTACTAGCTACCAGGGGAGCCCAATGTGTAGGCAAAGTTAAGAACCATTGAGTGAAATATCCTACAAATACAGCTGTATGGGAGACAGGAAAGAAGGTATGCTTTCTCTTTTCTGGAATATCCATTTGGATTTTTCAAGGTTTGTTTTAGGACACTAAGCAGTAAACTTTGTCCCATTTAGACATCATGTGATGAAACACACAATGGCAAAGATAGGGTCAGAAACCTTTAAAGAAAGCTAAGGTTGTCACAACTGGCACTATCCTACCATAGGGCTTCCTCTGCCTCTCAGCCAATTACTTGCCCCACCAAATGAATGTGGGTCTCTATGGTGTGAAGTTGGGATGGAGTGAAGCTGATGGAAGACAGGAATAGACTGTAAGGTTGCCAACTTTCTACATCCTGGTAAGATCTCTCAACATTCTTAACTTGGGCACCTCATAAGTCAGTCAATGTGCTTTCACAGAGGTCCTACTATGGGCCAGGACCTGTGGAACATTGGGAATAATGTGGAGAACAGCATGGACTCCCTGCCTTCCACCTGCTCACAGTGACATCTTGTGTCCCCCATGGTATGAAGTACATAGTCTTTCATGAACTCTCTTAAACACTGCAAGTAGCCCAGCTGTGGTGGCTCAGTGGATTGAGTGTCATCCCATGGACTAAGAGGTCCCAGGTTCATTCCCAGTCTGGGTACAAGCCCAGGTTGTGGGCTCGATCCCCAGTAAAGGGTGTGCAGGAGGTAGCCGATCAATAATTCACTCTCCTCATTGATGTTTCTCTCTCTCCCTCCCTCTTCCTTCCTCTCTGAAATCAATAAAAACATATATTGTTTTAAAAAATTGCAAGCAAATGTTATGACTTAATTTATATCACCCAAGGCCTCTGCTAGACTTTACTATGGAGGTTCTTGTATCACAGATGGAACTGTCGGAAGACTCAGGCCTATGTGGGGCTTCAGGTACCATCAAGAGTGAAGACAGAGTTACAGCCAGTCACCAAGCTTCCCTGATCTTTCTCATGATTACAGTCTCCCACACAAGACTGAGAGATCTAGAAAACATAACACAGACCCTAATAGAAATGGTAACAAAAGAGTGGTTGAGGACAGAAGATTTGTGGAATTTAGTGGAACCAGGAAAAATCTTGGAGCCGTGGGGGGTGAGGGCAGCTTGGAGAACCTCTGGGAAGTCTCATGGAGGACCCTGTAGCAGAGCAGAGCCCAGCGTGGGAAAAAGGAGAAATCCCAAATGCATGACTGCCATCACGAGCCCCTGAGATGGTCCCTCAGGGATGAGGGCAGAGTGATGATGTGAGCTCCATGTAGATGCTTCTGTCTCATGGACGATTCCTTTGCAGGGCTGTGTGCTGGCCAAAACCTAAGAAGAGATGGTGAGTGTTTCTAAAGGAAAGCCTGCCTTCTCCTTCACTCCAAATTCCCCTCACCCCTTCTCTTTCTTCAGAAGAGCAGGTGAATGAATCTAATCCAGACCTGGACTACGCTTCCTTCCAGGGCCACTTCCCAAGCCCTCCATCCGTGCCCGGCCCAGCTCGGTGTTTCCTGCCAATAGTCATGTGACACTGCGATGCTCTACTCCTACTGGGGAGGTCAACTTCAGGCACATCAAGTTTACTCTCAGAAAGAACAATGTTCCTTTGGAGTCCTCGCCATCTCCTGATTCCCCCAGGGGCCGGGCAGAGTTTCATCTCACTGACGTAAAAACCAGTGATGCTGGAGAGTACACCTGTGAATATTACAGAAGAGGGAGCCCCAACAGAAGGTCACCGCCCAGTGATGTCCTTCTACTACTGGTGACAGGTGAGGACGGGGTGCTCAGAATGACACAGCATCTCCCTAAGACTGGGATGAGGGAGGATCCAGAGAATGAGAGAGTAGCAGGGGTCTCACCTCCAGTGTAGATGGGGAAGAGAGATGGAGAAGGACAGGAACAGAGCTGAGGACCCTGCCCTCATCCAGGGCTTGTAGGAGGGAAATCACCTTCCTGGAGTCAGAGCAGAAGAGGGTGAGGCCAGGTGTCTGTCACTTCCCACACTCCCTGGGAACCTGCCAGGACAACAAGTCTGGACCCAAGGCTTCAGCCCATCACTTAGCTTCCTTCTCTTACAGGAGAATTACCTAAACCTTCCCTCCACGCCCGCCCAGGGCGCAAGGTGACTGCAGGAGAAAACGTGATTCTGCAGTGCAAGAAGCCCAGGCATATGATAGAACCTCACATGTTTGCTCTACTGAAGAAAGGAACTTCAACACCCATACAGCTCCAGAGTGCAGTAGGAATTCAGACAGACTTCTCCCTGCCAAGTGTGACAGGCAGTGACACTGGGGCCTACAGCTGTGTGTACTACCAACCAAGGGCTCCTTTCTCGGCCTCAGAGCCCAGTAATGAGCTCAGGATCTCGGTGACAGGTAAGGTTTCTGCAAGATTATGAGGACTTGGATTCCCAGCTGGGCCATGTGCCTGGGTTGGGGCCCAATCAAGAGTGGGGAATGAGGGAGGTGGCTGAGCAATGATTCTCTCTCATCACTGATGTTTCTCTCTCTTCCTGTCCATTACCCTCTCTGAAATCAATAAAAAAAATTTTTTAAGGAATCAACTAATGAATGCATAAATAAGTAGAGATATACATTTTTCTCTCTCCCTTGCTAAAAAAAAATCAATAAATAAAATTTAAATATATAAGTACATCCAGAATAGTGTGCAACCATCATCACCCAAAACGTTCTCATTGTATCAAACATCAACTCAACACCCATAGCCCATATTCTCTTTTCCCCCAACCTCTGGTAACCTCTGTTCTACTTCCTGTCTCTATGAATTTGCCTCTCCTAGGTACTTTGCATAAGTGTAATCATACAATATTTGTCTTTTTGTATCCGGTTAATATTATGTGCATAATGTTTTTTTCCAAATATGGTTTTATTAATTTTAGAGAAAGGGAGAGGGAGAGAGAAATATCAATGTGAGAGAGAAAAAATGATCCGCTGCCTCCTGCATGCCTCCTACTGGAGACAGAGCCTGAAACCCGGGCATGTGCCCTGACTGGAAATCGTACCAATAAACTTTTGGTGCATGGGGCAGCGCTCAACCAACTGAGCCACACTGGCCAGGGCCATATGCATAATGTTTTCAAGGTCCATCTATGTTATAGCATGAGTCACACTTTCATTCCTTTTTATGGCTGAAGAGTATTCTGTGCATTTTATTTATCCATTTATTCTTTGAGGGACACGAGTCTTTTCACCTTGTGTCTATTTATGAATTTTCCCAAAAAAATATGAAATATATTTATCTTCTTATCTCACCTAAGGATATTTTTTCCATTGATTTTTAGAGAGAGTGAAAGGGAGGGAGGGTAGGAAGGGAGGGAGAAACATCGATTGGTTGCCTTCCACACGTGCCCCGGCCAGGACCAGGGAATGGAACTGCAACCCAGGTATGTGCCCTTGACTGGAAATTGAACCAGCGAACCTTCAGTGCGCCGCCTGATGTGCTAACCACTTAGGCACACCAGCCAGGGCTGAAATATACTATTGTTTATTGTCTCATGCAATTTTAGCACGAAGACTTGGCAGCTTCCCCCTTTTAGCTACTAAGACACAAAACTGTTTGGCCCACCCAGGGTTAAAGAGGAAATCTCTTAGAAACACAGGCCTAACCAACATCCGTTGACTTAAATCAATCTTTCTTATAACAATGTTCATAAACAGGCTTGATGTTAATTTTAAAGGTATTTTAGCAACAGGAAAACCTATGCCGACCACACTGAGCAGGAAGGCTGTGGCTGGTGAGAGATTCCATAATCACTTTCATTAGGAAGGTTCTTTCTAAGCTGACTGACTTGAATATCAATGTCAATGTTCTAGTCTTAATAAACGTTTTTCTGGGTCCAGTGAAAGCAGTGGTTCTCCATCTCAGCTCAGTGTTTGCATCATCTGGGGGATTCTGAAAGTTTGGTGCCCGAGTCTTATTCCAAGCAATTCTGATTCAAATGTTTTTGCGGTCTGGTCTGCCCACTGCGATTTTCCTTTCTTTTTTGAAAGTTGAATTTAATGGGGTTGACATGGGTTAACAAAATTATATAGGTTTCAGGGATACAATTCTATAATAATCTGAATACTGTATTGTGTGTTTATCACCACAAGTCAAGTCTCATTCCATCACCATTTACCCTTCCTTTTCCTTCTCCTACTTCCCCCTACCCTCTCCCCTCTGGTAATCACCATACAATTGTCTAAGAGATGTGTCTTTTTTCCTTAATCCTTTCACATTTTTTACTGCAACCTCTTCCTCCCCCTCCTTTCTGACAGCTGTCAGCTATGAGTCTGTTTCTATTTTGTTCATTAGTTTCTTTTGTTCATTAGATTCCACATATAAGTGAAACCATATGGTATTTGTCTTTCTCTGACTGGCTTATTTCACATAACATGATACTCTCCAGGTCCATCTTTGCTGTCACAAAAGATAAGATTTCCTTCTCGTGTTTTTTTTTCTTTCAAAGCAGAGCAGTTTTCCATTGTGTATGTACAATGGCTTTTTAAAAGAAGAGCTTCTTATTTATTTATTAATACGTTTTTATTGATTTCAGAGAGGAAGGGAGAGGGAGACAGAAACATCAATGATGAGAATCATTGATTGGCTGCCTCTTGCATGCCCCCCAGTGGGGATGGAGCCTGCAACCTGGGCACATGCCCTTGACCATAATTGAAGCTGGGACCCTTCAGTCCGCAGGCCAACGCTCTATCCACTGAGCCAAACCGACTAGGGCAAGTTCCACAACTTTTTATCTCTCATCTACTGATGGGCACAAGAGCTGCTTTCAAATTTTGGCTATCCTATATAATAAAAGGGTAATATGCAAATAGTCCTCTTAACTATGAGTTTGACTGGAGTTTGAAGAGCGGGCAGGGCCGGCCGCCAAGTGCCCAGGGCCCCTCCCCCCAACCCCTATTGGGGTTGGGCAAGCTGGCTAACCTCCCGCCTTCTTCACACCCCCCGCACCCCCACCCGTTGGCCTGGCCGGATGGCCCGCCCAAATAGGGGTGGGCCGGCTGGACCCCATCCGTGAACGAATTTGTGCCCTGGACCTCCAGTTGTAAATAATGCTGCAATGAACATAGGGGTGCATATATTTTTGAATAACTGTTTCAAGTTTCTTCGGATATATTCCCAGAAATGGAATAGCTGGGTCATAAGGCAGTTTCGCTTTTAATTTTTTGAGGAAACTCCATACTGCTTTCCACAGTGGCTGTACCCATCTCTCCCCACTGTAATTTTTAAGAGCACCCTCAGGGGAGCCCAGTGTGCAGCCAAAATGAAGAACAGCTGGGCTACAGTGTCTTACAAATGCAGCTGTGTGCCGCAGGGGAGGGATGCAAGCTCTCCCCTTCCTGGAGTACCCACTGGGATTCTTTGAGGCTTGTTTTAGGGTACCAAGCAGCAACCTTCGTCATGTTTGGAGAATCAAGAGATAAAAAGAGATAATGGGAAAGACTGGATCAGAAACTTTTCAGATGTAAGGCTGAGACTGACTTAACTAGCCCTCTCCAACAGTAGGGCTCACTCCATCTTGAGCCAACCCTTACTCACCAGATAGAACAGGGGTGGGGACCCTTTTTCTGCCAAGGGCCATTTGGATATTTATAACATCATTCATGGGCCAGACACAATTATCCACTTAAACATTAGTCCGCTATTGGTCAAACATTTAATTAATTCATCTCTAACGTCTCAGCAGGGCCAGACCAAATGATTTCGTGGGCCTCATACGGCCTACAGGCAGGACATTCTCTCTCTTGAGATAGATATTGGTGATGATTGTGAGGCTTAGAAGCGGACTTATGCTGAGCCTGCATCTCTTTTTTAAAATAAATTTTTCCTGATTTCGGAGAGAAAGGTAGAGGGAGAGGGAGAGAAACATCAATGATGAGAGAGAATCATTGATTGGCTGTCTCTTGCATGCCCCCACTGGGGATAGAGCCACAACCCAGGCATGTGCCCTGATAGGGAATCAAACAGTGACCTCTTGGTACATAGGTTAATGCTCAACGGTTGAGCCATGCCAGTTGGGCTGAAATATTTAAATTATATAACGTAGTAACTATTTTATTTTATCCCACCCTGATAACCTTACTTCTCAGCAGAGATATTAAGATAGAAGATTTAAAAGTAAAGTTGCTGATTTAGAGATTCTTTGAAATAGTATCATTGCTTTGACATTAGATTGCATTTCTTTAACATTGTTTTTAGATTACTTTTTTTAAACTGTTGTAATTTCCTTTTGAATAGTGCCCTTTAAATAGAATTTTTGAAAGAAGAAACAGACAGTGTATAGTTATAATTCAGAGTCTTTGAACATCACCAATAAGGTCCCAGGGTACTTTATAGAAAACTTAGTGTCTGATTCCCTTCCTCCTTCTCCTCTTTCTAAAAGGTGTCTCTCTGAGGCTTGAAAAGGTCTGGAAAAAAAAAATTGAGGTCCCTCCAATATGTGTATATTGATTATTTTGCTTAATAGTCCTCTGAAGAGAAATGTGAATTTAAAGTGCTGATGGCCAGAAAGATGATCAGCATTTAGTACTTTAGGCAGTTTATAAACTTTGTTGCTTTTCTTTCTTGACTTACTGTAATTTAACATTTGTGTATTCTATGTAGTTTTACTGGTCTGTATCAATAATATTGCAAAAGAAAAATGGTTTTAATTATTCTAGAATTGTAGAAGTAGGAGACTTTTATGGTCAACAGGTCTGTCTCTCTGATTTAAAAAATGAGACAGTAGAAACAGAGATTCAGTGATTTATCTAAGCAACACAGTTTGATGTGAAAACAAATTTTTCCTGCTGAATTTCAGTGCTGACAGGCAACTCTGATTCTCTGTGCTGCTTGCACACAAATTCCTAACAAAAGGAGGGAGGAGGGGAAGAGGAAATGCAGGGAGGTGGAAATGAGATGAAAGCAAATAAATGAGAAAGGTAAGGCAGAGAAAATATAAAAAAGATGACGCACTACTCCAGCTCTCCTAATACCCCCCATTTGGTTCCCAGTGATTAGAACTATAACCTAGTACAGCTGAGCACTGCCCAGGACACACATGCGGGCACGTGAAGGTCACCTCTGCTAGAACCATTGAGAAGCAGGGACATCAGTGGGGATCCTCTTCTCCCTTTCAGATTCCCCTGGTGCCACATCAACAGATTACACCACGGGTAACCTCATCCGACTGGGACTGTCTGCCCTAATTACGGTTCTTATGGTGGCTTTCCTGGTGGAAGCCTGGTGGAGCCAGAGGAGGTCTCCAAGTGGGTCCAGGTAAAACACTGAGCACTTCTCTCTGTCATGGGCTGTGGGAGTGATACGAGGGTCCCCTCCAAACCCACCCATTGCGATTTGTTTCGCATTATGGCGCAGATGGAATTTTCCTCATCCGGTGTGACCGTTTTGTTCATTATAAGGACATTTAGTATCTCTTTTCCTTTCCTTTCCAACAGCAATTAAAGTGCCAATCACTGTGGAAGAAGCAGAGCAGCAGGTACTACCCACAATACCTACTGAAACCTCCCTGTATGGAGAGGCTGGGAGAAGGGTGGTTCTTCCTGGCTGAGAACCTGTGTTTGGAGGCTGTGAGAATCCATATTCTTCCTTTTGGTTCCTCCCTGGATCCCAGGCCCCACCTCCTCTACCCACAGGTCCCCCAGCTGCCCCGGAGTTGGGAGGGGGAGATGATGAGTACCTGATCCAGCAGGACCTGCTGAGTCTTAACAGCTGTGAAACCTACATTCCCAGCCAGCCCAGGACAAGACACTGACTTCCTTCTTCCTGTGCGCTTCACCTGGGCCCGATGGCAGGACTGAGCAGTCTCACCTAACACATTTTGGATGACTTGACAAATACTTAAAACTTCAGCATCTGACCGGGTTGCAAGTATTTCATGTGTAGGAACTGTTCTTCCTTGAAAACTGGGGGAAACATGGGTTCCTATATAGCAGTGGTTCTCAACCTGTGGGTCGCGACCCCTTTGGCGGTCGAAGGACCCTTTCACAGGGGTCGCCTAAGATCATCCTGCATATCAGATATTTACATGACAATTCATAACAGTACCAACAATACAGTTATGAAGTAGCAACGAAAATAATTTTATGGTTGGGTCACAACATGAGGAACTGTATTTATAGGGCCAGAAGGTTGAGAACCACTGCTATATAGCATTATTAGTGCTTCCCTTCCACTCTATCTTCTGCTCTGACCAGCAGTTGGTAAAACTGCTGTATTTATCACATGTCTTTTAAATTTTATTTCATACATTCTCATAATTTTACCTAATTCGGGAGAATTCCAGTCTATATTATAGTATCAATTTGCTCTTGATTTGTCCCCAGTATTCCCGGTGCTGGTGTAAAAAATCATTGAGTGTATTTTCAAGATCTGTTGTTTCTTGTTTGATATCTTGTTCTTTTTCATAAATGCTCATTTTTATTTTAGAACTATTATCTCCTCTCTCATAACTCTGGAGATAGGCTATGAAAATCACATTCTGATGATAATAAAAGTGATTCTCTGAGACAGAAGTTATTTGCTTCCCCTGCTCCCTTCACTGTGTTGGGCCCATCAGATCATGGAGGAGTCAGCTCCTCTCTCACCCTCATTACAGCTGAGTCCCTCTTCTCCTGGCTGCTGCACTGTGTGTATGATGAGGTGTGTGTGTGGGGGTGGGGGGTTCTGCCCACTGCACTTCTCAGGGTGCTGGGGATGACTGGGACTCCTGGGCTGTGTACCTGTTGCTGAACTTCTCACTGTGGGGCTCTAGGTAACCTCAGGCATCAGGAGTTTTCAGTTTCTCCCACTCAATTGCTGAGACTAAACCCTCTGGCTGCTATCTGGTCAAGTGCCACAAAATAAACAGAAGTCGATTTACAGACAGGATGGGTGGGGTCCATCGGAGAGACAGCGGTTGCTCAGTCTACAAGCACCTCTTGCTCAGTCTCCACCTTGGCCTCATCTGGTACAGCCTTACCGATGCTCCCACTCCCCAATGGGTGACTGTGCGTGTTCATTTAGGTTGTGTTTTTCCTCTTCACACATATCCAATTTAAATGTGTCTATTTGGAAATAATTCTAGATTCACAGGAAGTTCCAGAAATAGCACAGATTTCTTCACTCGTTTTCTCCCAATGGTTCCATTACTCACCCATTATAATAAAAAAGGAAGAAGCTGACCTGAATACAATTTGTGTGCACAGTTCTATCATTTTTTTAATCATATGTCCACCAACACAGTCCACATACTGATCTAGTCCATCACCATGAAGATGTCCCTCATGCTATCTCTTTACAATCACACCCACCTCTCATCTTAACACCATTCTTCAACCCTGGCAACCAATGATTTCTTCTCTTTCTCCAAAATATTGTCATTTTCAGAATGTTCCACGTGACAATGCCTGGTGTCATTTTAAGAATGTGGTTTCAGCCCTATCTGGTTTGGCTCAGAGGATAGAGCATTTGCCTATGGACTGAAGGGTACTGGGTTGGATTCAGGTCAAGGACACATATCCAGGATCCTGGCTTGATCCTCAATAGAGGGCGTGCAGGGGCACCCAATCAATCATTCTCCCTTATTATTGATGTTTCTCTCTCTCCCCCCCTCTCCCTTCCTGTCTGAAATCAACAAAAAATGTATTTTTAAAAAAGAACGTGATTTCATTTCAGTAATAAAGGCATCAGTCTATACACCGAAGGGTCACAGGTTTGATTCCCGGTCAAGGGAAGGTACCTGGCTTGCAGGTTTGATCCATGGCTGCTGTCAGGGCATGTGCAGGAGGCAACCAATCAATGTGTCTCTCTCACACCGATGTTTCTCTCTCTTCTCTCTTCCCCTCCCCTTTCCTTCCACTCTCTCTAAAAACCAAGGCAAAAATATTCTTCAGCGAGGATTAACAATAAAAAGTAATGAATGTGGTTGTGACATCAATCTTGTGGGGTCACGTGAAGGGAAGAAAGAAATGGGCTGGAACAAAGGTGCCACCACCCACATCAAGCTTTCCTTCCTCTTGTGGTTTTAAAACTCAAACAGTCCTTGAATCCAGCGGCAGGCTCAGTATGGTGGCTGAGTTCCTTTCTCTCCTCTTATTTGGTAAGTTTCTTAGGATTGATATATTGGGATTTGAGACAAGGGTGGATTGACTGATTAAGAGATGTGACGAATACAACAGAGATAACACTGCCTTCTATTCATTGATTGCTTCACACATGTCAGGACCCATGCTGCAGGCTTTATGGCCACTTACGTATCAAGTGTTTCTCAGTATGGGAATATGTGTATTCCACAGTCATGATGGTGCTCTATGCCTGCACCACCTTCGTGTAATTAATAATTTATTGGCCCTGTGTCAACTCTTTTTCTTCATATCAAATGAATGTATTTATTTGAAATAATGTAGCAAGACTGTAACTAATAATGTAGTCACCAAAAAAAAGAATGAAGAGGGGGAAAATGTTAAGAATTCTAGTCTTTGCTGTTCATTGTCAAGTTTGATACCATGGAGGAACACTCTCTTTTTTAGGCAGTGTCAGAAGTGTGATTCCATACATTAACTTTTCTTCTTGATTTGAACAAAGGGGTTTAGCCCTAGTGGGTGTTTGGTCAGTGGTTAGAGCATCAGCCTGAGCACCAAAGAGCTGCAGTTCGGTTCTCTGTCAAAGGCAGGTACCTGGGTTGTGGGTTAGCTTCCCGCCCTCCAGTTCAGGTGCATGTAGGAGACAACCAGTCGATGTGCCTCTCACATAGATGTTTGTCTGTCTCACTCTCTCCCTCCCTCCCACTGTCTCTGAAAAGCAATGGAAAAAATATCCTCACCTGAGGATTAACAACAAAAAAAATGGCTTAGTGCAGTGGTTCTCAACCTGTGGGTCGCGCCCCCTTTGGCAGTCGAACGACCCTTTCACAGGGGTCGCCTAAGACCATCCTGCATATCAGATATTTACATTATGATTCACAACAGTAGCAACATTACAGTTATGAAGTAGCAACGAAAATAATTTTATGGTTGGGTCACAACATGAGGAACTGTAATTAAAGGTCCAGAAGGTTGAGAACCACTGGCTTAGTGTGATCTGAAAGGAAGCGAAGTGTGTGATGCCGTGACCAGGGCTATAGAATAATGTCACTGGCTTAGCTGACATCATCCCACAGAGCGCCTGTGCTCCGAATTCCACACTGCGGGAAATACCTCTCAGATCCTTTCAAACAATCCTGTGTGATGGGAACTGTCCACAGTGGTAAGTGAGGACCCGGACACTGAGAGTGGGGTGTCCTGCAGACAGTGAGCAGAAAACTCAAAATGCAAGTCCAGGCCTGACTTCCTCCTAAGCTTTACTGTTTCTCTCGGTTTTCACAAAATTTAAAGGGAAACAGGTATGGGGTCTTCAGAACCGCAATGTCCTTGGGCTGAGTGAACAGATGCTGGGCTGGGGGAATTCTAAGAGCAGGACAGGAGCCTGGGTCACCCTGCTAAGTGAACAGTCAATCACAAAGATCACATGGTGTGATTTCCATCCAGAAATCTATGGAGACAGAAGGTGCATTAGTGGTTGTTTGGGGCAGGGGTGGGGGAGGCAGGAGAAGAGGGGAGCGATGGCCTGTGGACATGGGATGTCATCGTGAGGCCCTGAACATGTTTTAAAGTTGATGGGAAGTTTGCACACATCGGGGAATACAGGAAAGCCACTGAAACATGCACTGTCAATGGAGATTATATGGTGTGTGAATTGTGAATCAATAACGCTCTTTATTAACGTCCCCTGGTGTGGAGCTGGGGTGCATCTCAGGGTGTCTCTCTGTAAGTGACAGGAAACCCAGGTTTGCTCGCACAGGAACAGTGTGAGGTTCCTGGCTTGGGTGTGGTCACTGACCTAGGTCCTGATTCTGACATTTGTCTGATCACTAGACTCTAGGAGAGCCCTTAAGGCTTTCTTTATGTGAGAACCTCATCTGAAGAAAGTGCAGGGTTCCATCCTGAGGCCTTCTGGTTGTTTCCAGGAGGTGAGAGAACCCAGCTCACGTTTGGAGCCTCCCTCCTGCACACAGTGGCTGAGCTGCATTTGACGTACAGGATGCGGGGTGGGCTGACACCCTTATCTGTACAGAGGAGAATTACTACATCTGCAGCGCTATCTTCATGATCAGAGGCCTTGTATGGATATTAAGTCTCCTTATTTCCACAGGAATGAGCCCCTTTATCCTCCCATTTCCTCCCCTTGGCTCAGGTGCTATTTCTACTGGAAATTCCCCCCCCCCTGCCCCCCAACTCCCCGTCATCTACAAGTGAGAAAGTATGTCCCTCCCTTCTTCTGTCGCTCAGAGAACTATGTCCCTTTATCAGGTCTTCTGAGAAGGGTCTCCTCTTATCTCTGTGGGGGTGATGTGCAAAGCTGAGATGAGAGGAGCTGGCCTGTGGCTGGGCAAGTTTAAGAAAGGGTGGCTCAAAGTCTGTATCTCAACAGCCATGTTCCTCCAATCGTGCTGGGCAAAGCCTCAGGCATCAGAGGGACACCCCACTCACGACACCTCCAATTACAGGCTCCCCGTTCCCCATCAGCAGTGTCTTTGGGAGTGTGTGAGGGGCTGGTGTTGACGAGGCGGGAACTGAGGAGAGTCTCAATGTTGTGGAATCTTGCTTGATACTCAGCCAGAGGATGTCACATCAAGAGGATTGGGTTCTGCACTTAAAACCGCTTCATGAGGCTTTATGATCTTATCTCTTATCATCTTAGATAATTTACATGTTAAGCTGGACACACCCCAGTCCTTTTCTCTGCCCTGATCTCCCAACAGCTACAGACTTCAGGAGCCTTCACAGTCGGACTCGCTGACACCAACTCGCTCCCATAGAGATCTCAATCTCACATCCACAGTTGCTCAGTTTGCTGTGTGCATTTACTCAGGCTGCCGTTTGGCACTGGTCTTCCTCCATCTATCTAGCTGTGCTAACATCTGATGTGGTGCTATACTGCCCGCCCAGCACAGTCTGATACCTGGGAGAGGTTCTGTTCTGTGGGCTCCAACCCACTCTACAGACCTGGGCAGGGGACAAAGGTCCAGGCTCCCAGGACTTTGATGCTCGGGACAGAGGCTCTCTCTCCAGATGCAGCGTCTGAGAGCGTTCAGGTGTCCACAGGTGTCTGCTCTCTCTGCGCTTTTCCTTCATCCATTTTCTGTGGTCACCCTGACTGGACCTTTCCTTCCAGTGTTTGGCACAGTCACTACCTTGCCTTTTTCATACCATAGATTCAATTTTCTTGCTGTATCCATGTGCTTGTAGAAAAAGCCTGGTGCCTTCTCATTTCCCCCCTCCCCTGAAACACTAAACTGATGCTTCATACGGAACAGAGAGAGGAAATTCCCGTTCTTAGCAATACATGCTTAACTAAACTCCTTGTTCAGTTAATATGTTCATTACAATGCTATGGCTGCATAGGCATGATATTTTCAGGTAAATTTAACACTCAGGCAAAAGTGTACTATCTTCATTGCACTTAAGGAAGAATAGCTATGAATGGTCTGAGATGAACACAATCACTTTCACTTGGAAGTCGCTCTCTTTTTTTAATACTCACCCATGCATATTTTTCCCATTGATTGTTAGAGGAAGAGTGGAAGAGAGAAGGGAGGGCATAGGGAGGGAGGGAAGGACAGAGGGACAGACAGACACACATAGATGTGGGACACATCACTGGTTGCCTCCTGCACATGATCTGACAGGGGCAGGGGATTGAACCTGCAACTGAGACACGTTCCTTTATCAGGAATCAAATCTGTGACCCTTTGGTCTGCGGGCTGATGCTCTAACCAGTGAGCCAAACCAGCCATGGTTCACTTGGAAGTCTCTTTATCCACCAGTTGCTTTTGAGTATGTTTCACATGCCTTGAGCAATGTTTGTCCTGGTTCAGTCATAGCAGTGCTTCCCCGTCTTGGCTACACACTTGTATCACTCAAGGAACAGATGTAAAAAAAATACAGATGTCTGAGCCCCATTTGAAGACTTTTTGACTTACTCTACTGTGGTTCGGTCTGACCCTGGACTTTTTACTAGCTACCAGGGGAGCCCAATGTGTAGGCAAAGTTAAGAACCATTGAGTGAAATATCCTACAAATACAGCTGTATGGGAGACAGGAAAGAAGGTATGCTTTCTCTTTTCTGGAATATCCATTTGGATTTTTCAAGGTTTGTTTTAGGACACTAAGCAGTAAACTTTGTCCCATTTAGACATCATGTGATGAAACACAATGGCAAAGATAGGGTCAGAAATTTTTAAAGAAAGCTAAGGTTGTCATAACTAGTACTATCCTACCATAGGGCTTCTCTTGCCTCTCAGCCAATTCCTTTCCCCACCAAATGAATGTGAGTCTCTATGGTGTGAGGTTGGGATGGAGTGAAGCTTATGGAAGATAGGAATAGACTGTAAGGTTGCCAACTTTCTACATCCTGGTAAGATCTCTCAACATTCTTAACTTGGGCACCTCATAAGTCAGTCAATGTGCTTTCACAGAGGTCCTACTATGGGCCAGGACCTGTGGAACATTGGGAATAATGTTGTGAACAGCATGGAGTCCCTGCCTTCCACCTGCTCACAATGACATCTTGTGTCCCCCATGGTATGAAGTACATAGTCTTCCATGAACTCTTTTAAATTTCAAGCAGCCCAGCTGTGGTGGCTCAGTGAATTGAGTGTCATCCCATGGACCAAGAGGTCCCAGGTTCATTCCCAGTCTGGGCACAAGCCCGGGTTGTGGGCTAGATCCCCAGTAAAGGGTGTGCAGGAGAAAGCCAATCAATGATTTGCTCTCCTTATTGATGTTTCTATCTCTCTCTCCCTCCCTCTTCCTTCCTCTATGAAATCAATAAAAACATATTTTTTAAAAATGGAAGCAAATATTATGACTTAATTTTTATCACCCAAGACCTCTGCTAGACTTTACTATAGGGGTTCTTCTATCACAGATGAAACTGTCAGAAGACACAGGCCTATGTGGGGCTTCAGGTAACATCAAGAGTGAAGACAGGGTTACACCCAGTCACCAAGCTTCCCCGATCTTTCTCATGATTACAGTCTCCCACACAAGACTGAGAGATCTAGAAAACATAACACAGACCCTAATAGAAATGGTAACACAAAGAGTGGTTCAGGACAGAAGATTTGTGGAATTTTGTGGAACCAGGAAAGATATTGGAGCCGTGGGAGGTGAGGGCAGCTTGGAGAATGTCTGGGAGGTCGGATGGAGGACCTTGGAGTAGAGTCCAGTTTGGGAAAAAGGAGAAATCCCAAATGCATGACTGCCATTACGAGCCCCTGAGATGGTCCCTCAGGGATGAGGGCAGAGTGATGATGTGAGCTCCATGTAGATGCTTCTGTCTCATGGACGATTCCTTTGCAGGGCTGTGTGCTGGCCAAAACCTAAGAAGAGATGGTGAGTGTTTCTAAAGGAAAGCCTGCCTTCTCCTTCACTCCAAATTCCCCTCACCCCTTCTCTTTCTTCAGAAGAGCAGGTGAATGAATCAAGTCCAGCCTGGACTCCGCTTCCTTCCAGGGTCACTTCCCAGGCCCTCCATCCATGCCTGGCCCAGCTCGGTGCTTCCTGCCAATAGTCATGTGACACTGCGATGCTCCACTCCTACTGGGGAAGTCAACTTCAGGCACATCAAGTTTACGCTCAGAAAGAACAATGTTCCTTTGGAGTCCTCGCCATCTCCTGATTCCCCCAGGGGCCTGGCAGAGTTTCACCTCACTGACCTAAAAACCAGTGATGCTGGAGAGTACACCTGTGATTACAGGACAGGGAGCCCCACCAGAAGGTCACCGCCCAGTGACGTCCTTCTACTGCTGGTGACAGGTGAGGACGGGTGCTCAGAATGACACTCCATGTCCCTAGGACAGGGATGAGGGAGGATCCAGAGAATGAGAGAGGAGCCCCCGGGGTCTCACCTCCAGTGTAGATGGGGAGGTGAGATGGAGAAGGACAGGAACAGAGCTGGGGACCCTGCCCTCATCCAGGGCTTGTAGGAGGGACATCTCCTTCCTGGAGTCAGAGCAGAAAGAGGGTGAGGTCAGGTGCCTGTCACTTCCCACACCCCCTGGGAACCTGCCAGGACAACAAGTCTGGACCCAAGGCTTCAGCCCATCACTTAGCTTCCTTCTCTTACAGGAGAATTACCTAAACCTTCCCTCCACGCCCGCCCAGGGCGCAAGGTGACTGCAGGAGAAAACGTGATTCTGCAGTGCAAGAAGCCCAGGCATATGATAGAACCTCACATGTTTGCTCTACTGAAGAAAGGAACTTCAACACCCATAAAGCTCCAGGGTCCAGTAAAAACGGAGACAGACTTCTCCCTTCCAAGTGTGACTGTCAATGATACTGGGGCCTACAGCTGTGTGTACTACGTAGAAAGCGCTCCTTTCTACGCCTCAGAGCCCAGTGATGAGCTCACGATCTCGGTGACAGGTAAGGTTTTTACCATTAGGAGGACGATGGCTGAGTTATCTGCCAGCTGATGTTCTGCCACCTGGAGTACATCGGAGGGAGGTTCTGTCCTTACAAGACTCTGGAGCTTGCGAAAAGTCACGTGGGGGAAAGGAAGTCAGGGCCAGGATGCTGTGGAGGAATGGACAGGAACTTCTGATAACAGAGGGAGTGTGAGTGGTGGAGAATCACAAGACAGGAGGCTGGGGGGATTGACGGAGGTGGCCGAGCAATGATTCTCTCTCATCACTGAGGTTTCTCTCTCTCCCTCTCCATTACTCTCTCTGAAATCAATAAAGAAAAAATTTTTTTTCCAGGAATGTCAGGCTACAAACCATTTTCTTAGTGCCCACTGTTCTGAGCACTGAGCGTACAAATAGCCACTTCCTCTGTGCCCTGGCGTCACAGGTGCAGCAAGGCAGCCGCGTCCGTGGTGCTGCAGGTCCAGCACCCGCAGGGCAGCATGAAAATTTTTTAAGGAATCAACTAATGAATGCATAAATAAGTAGAGAGATATATTTTTCTCTCTCCTTGCTAAAAAATCAATAAATGAAATTTAAATATATAAGTACATTTAGAATGTTGTGCAACCATCATCACCCAAAACGTTCTCATTGTACCAAACATCAACTCAATACCCACTGCCCATTTTCTATTCCCCCCAACCTCTGGTAACCTCTGTTCTACTTCCTGTCTCTATGAATTTGCCTCTCCTAGGTAATTTGCATAAGGGTAAACATACAGTATTTGTCTTTTTGTGTCTGGTTAATTTTATGTCCATGTTTTTTTCCCAAATACGGTTTTATTAAGTTTAGAGGAAGGGAAAGGGAGAGAGAAATAATCAATGTGAGAGATAAACGATGATCCGCTGCCTCCTGTATGCCCCCTACTGGGGACTGAGCCCAAAACCCGGGCATGTGCCCTGACTGGAAGTCATACCAATGACCTTTCGGTGCATGGGACAGCGCTCAACCAACTGAGCCACACTGGCCAGGGCCATATGCATAATGTTTTCAAGGTCCATCTATGTTATAGCATGTGTCACACTTTCATTCCTTTTTATGGCTGAAAAGTATTCTGTGGACTGTGCACTTTATTTATCCATTTATTCTTTGAGGAACACGAGTCTTTTCACCTTGTGTCTATTTATGATTTTTCCTCAAAAAACATGAAATATATTTATCTTCCTAATCCTCACCCAAGGATATGTTTTCCATTGATTTTTAGAGACAGAAGAAGGGAGGGAGGGTAGGAAGGGAGGGAGAAACATCGATTGGTTGCCTTCCACACGTGCCCCGGCCAGGACCAGGGAATGGAACTGCAACCCAGGTATGTGCCCTTGACTGGAAATTGAACCCGGGACCCTTCAGTGCACCGCCTGATGTGCTAACCACTTAGGCACACCAGCCAGGGCTAAAATATAATATTTTTTATTGTCCCATGCAATTTTAGCACGAAGGTCTGGCAACTTCCCCCCGTTTCGCTACTAAGACAAAAACTGTTTGGCCCACACAGGGTAAAAAGAGGAAGAAATCTCTTAGAAACACAGGACTAACTAACATCCGTTGACTTAAATCAATCTTTCTTATAACAATGTTCATAAACAGGCTTGATGTTAATTTTAAAGGTATTTTAGCAACAGGAAAACCTATGCCGACCACACTGAGCAGGAAGGCTGTGGCTGGTGAGAGATTCCATAATCACTTTCATTAGGAAGGTTCTTTCTAAGCTGACTGACTTGAATATCAATGTCAATGTTCTAGTCTTAATAAACGTTTTTCTGGGTCCAGTGAAAGCAGTGGTTCTCCATCTCAGCTCAGTGTTTGCATCATCTGGGGGATTCTGAAAGTTTGGTGCCCGAGTCTTATTCCAAGCAATTCTGATTCAAATGTTTTTGCGGTCTGGTCTGCCCACTGCGATTTTCCTTTCTTTTTTGAAAGTTGAATTTAATGGGGTTGACATGGGTTAACAAAATTATATAGGTTTCAGGGATACAATTCTATAATAATCTGAATACTGTATTGTGTGTTTATCACCACAAGTCAAGTCTCATTCCATCACCATTTACCCTTCCTTTTCCTTCTACTTCCCCCTACCCTCTCCCCTCTGGTAATCACCATACAATTGTCTAAGAGATGTATCTTTTTTCCTTAATCCTTTCACATTTTTTACTGCCACCTCTTATTCCCCCTCCCTTCTGACAGCTGTCAGTCTGTTCTCTGTATCTATGAGTCTGTTTCTATTTTGTTCATTAGTTTCTTTTGTTCATTAGATTCCACATATAAGTGAAATCATATGGTATTTGTCTTT